ACAGGAATCAACTGAACCCATAACGTCTTGGTGTTTGGGACCACACTCCTACGGAGCCATCTGGCCAGGGCTCAACTGCTTCTTGACAGACAGACAGTGTAGGGCACAAGGCAACTGTGAACAGAATTAGCAGCTACAGTGCTACTGACCAACCCCCATGGCCCAAACCTCTGCTGGCACGGCATGCGATGCCCCCGAAGGCAGGGATTATTATTTCCATTTTACAGACGAGGATGCTGGGGCTCAGAGGGATTAAGTGAGTTGCCCAAAAGGTACCACTTAGGGGCAGAAGCTGACTCCCACGCTGGTCCTTCTACTCCTGAATCTGTTCACTCAACTTCCTGAGGAGGAGGCCAAGCCGCAGGGTGCAGGGAAGGAGGACCCGACACCAAAACTATTATGTGGAGAAAGGTCATTACTGGGGTAATTTTCCACATCTCAGGCCCCAACCCAGGGTTCTGCTGGCCGGCCCAGGGTTATCATGTGGAAATCAGCATCCGGCCTGATGAGAAGGCTGGCTAGCCAAAACTATAGGACACTATTTCTTTGTATTTTAAAATACTGACCTTGACTGACTTAGCCCACCGTCTGCAATGGATGTGGGCCCAGCATTGTTCTCTTGAGGTTCATATACAAGTGGAAGATTTGGACCAGATGGAGAAAAAAATTTTACAGCACCTAACAGAGTTCTTTGTTTCTCTTAAGTGATACTGCTACGGTAGTTTTTTGTTTGTTTTTAAACTCTCAACTTAAAGTAACAAATGAACTAACAAAACAAAAAACTCATAGATACACAACAGAACTGAGGTTACCAGAGGGTAAGGGGGGATGGGGAGGGTGAAATAGGTAAAGGGGTCCAATATACAGTCACGGATGGAAACCAGACTTTTGGGTGGTGAACATGCAACAGAGCATCCAGATATCAAACTGCAACATTGTACACCTGAAATTTATATATTAACTGATGTTATCTCAATACAATTTTAATTTAAAGAGACAAACAACCTCTCCAATTACTGTTAGAAAATGTAGGTTTCGAAATCCCAGCTGGGCCACATGTGGAGACTTAACCACGGATGAGTCACTCAGTTCTTCATGGTCTCCACTCTCTAATCTATAAAACAGCTACCACGTTGCTTTCTTGAAAGGACTTGATGAAATGATATATATGCAAGCATTTTGCAAATTTTTATAAAGCCCCAAACAAGTGTATAGAACTGATATGATCAGATGTTTTTGTGATGGATGAATTGGAGCCTCAATTGCCCACACAATTACCTCGGACATTTGTAATGTCATCTTCCTTCTTCACTGTTCTCTCTCCCAAAGCAAACTTTATTCAAACCAATAAAATGTAACGCTTCATCAAGACTACCTTTCACCATCGGATCAGCCACTTATCCCCGAACATGCCAGGCTCTGTTGTTACTTGTTCCCAAAAAACGACAGGCTTCACCTCTCCTCCAGCCCCTCCCATTCCCCTCCCTCCTAAGATGATCAAAGCAGACAGTTTGCTTTATGTATCAGTGGGTCCGTGAATAAAATGCTTTAAAATGAAACTTGATGTGCAAGGCACATAGAAATCTTTGGCATTCTTGAGTATTTGATTATTCTCTCCTTGAACGGTCTGTCATCTATTTATCACGACATTTACCTTAGAGTTAAGTACACCTCTGAAGCTGGGACAAGACAGGGCCCTTCATACACACACATTATTATAACATTCCAAGTCCTCAACTCCTAGCACTTGCATGTTCCGTTTTAGAAGCTTTTGTCTTTCTGACTGAATGCAGCAATAAACCCCAGACCACATTAATGATAACCCTGTTAAATATAAACTAGTGTGCAGCTATCCAAAATGCTAAGACAAACAAAGGGGGGGGGGGCAGGAAACCGACTGATTGGTTTTTGAAAGCCTCCAAGAACGTACAAACAAAAATAAAACTACAACATTACACAGTTTTACGGAAGAGTAAGGGCTAATGATTTTATGATTCCTACACGCAGTCTCTTTGAACCCCACAGTGTCTGTGAAAAGTTCAGTTTTAAAATTGCCTGTCGGATGAAACTTGAATGGGTCAGATATTTTTTAGGTGGAACATGGGTAATGGGGAAATTCACAAAACTCTGTGAAGTAACAGATTCTCATAAAAGTGCCTGGTTTTCACCACTCTTCCTCTAGTGACAGCCCCACAAGGGAGAATGGGAGGAAAGAAAAAGCCCTGACTTGTAAAGCTGGCCAAATCTTGTCGCGTAAATATATACTCAGGTCACCAACCAGCTCAGATTCCTCCATCACAGGAGCCAGCGAGAGCACACTACGGGGTCTAGACAAAACCCGCTTAGAAGCCAGAGAAACCAGCTTCAAAGTCTAGCTCTCGATTCCAGGTACCAGGTCTTGGGGAAGTTTGGTAACAAGCCTCAGTCTCCACAGCTCTGAAATGGGTATAATCCCCAAGGGAGCAGGGGAGCTGCAGTGGTGGCCATGGCTGCCTCCCATGAAATACAAGGAATTTAACACGAAGCAGATGTGGGTTTCAGCTGGGGGAGAAGGTGTTGGTGGGTCCAAACAGAAGCCGGGCGCATCCAGAAGGCCAGGACAGGGAGGGTGGCTGGAAGGGCCCAGCACCCACCTCCAGGGCAGAGAGCACTGGACTAGGACAGGGGTCACACACTTGTCCGTCAGGAGCGGGAGAATGAACAGTGTTAAACTTCTCACCCATGTGGTCTCAGCCGCAACTCTCAGTGCTGTCCTTGGAGCACAAGGGCAGCCAGAGACAATGCAGGAATGAACAGCAGATTGTATTTCCACAGCCCCTGGCCACACTGGGCCCAGGGTGGGCGCAGCCTGCAGACCCCTGGGCTGTAGGGGAGAGGGTGGAGCTGAGAAGACAGGGAGGGTTCAAACCAAGGAAACTCACAGGAAGGAAGTATTGTTATTCCCATTTCATAGATGAGAACCGTCACGAAGTAAGTGACAGCCAGAGCCACAAACGGCTCCTGCGGTGCCAGGCCCTGACCCCCTCCACCAGGAAGCACAGCGAGAGGCATGGGAGCCCCAGGTGCTTAAGGCAGCAGCCAGGCGTCGGGAGGTAGGTGTGGGGGGAGGGGGAGCAGGCAGGCGCTGGGCAGATTTCCTAGTCACCGAGGCCTCCGTCCACCCTGGAATGTCCTCTGGGCCCTCACACACAGGGTCCTTCCTGAATGACTGAAAGGCAGAAACCACACTTAGGGAGCCCAGGGCGAGGAGGGTCAGCCAGAGCCAGTTTAACAAGCATTTCTGAGCCTGACTCAGGCCACAGCCCAGGGAGTGGAGTGGGGAAGGAAGGGCACAGACTCCGGTGCCAGATGCCTGGGGCTGGGCCCAGGTCCCAGTGTGGGCTGAGGGACCCTGGGCAAGGCACTTAACCTCTCTGTGCTCTAGGTGAGGGTGATGAGGTGTGCTACCTGAGGGCTGTTACATCCATGAATCCACTTAATCCCCCTTAGATACCGTGTTAGATAAAGATACTGTGTCAAGGCACTGAGCCAGCCCCCACCCCCGCCCCCCGCCGGGGGCAGTGTCCCAGGCCTGGTGGGGGCTTCAGCCAAGCCCTCCCGGGAATAAACGGCCTGTTTAAGAAAATCGCCCAACAGATGGGCCACGCTGCTCGTCCCGAGGACCAGCACAGTGGCACCGCATACCTGATGGTCGCTGTGTTCAATGTGTGTTGAGTGGATGACACAAGACATAAAGTTCCAATACCAGGATTTCCTCCACAGCATCCCTGACGGCCAACAGAGCCCCAAGTCACCCTCTGCCCCTCTGTGACCTTGATTCCTGCCCCTCCCTGTCCGTAGGGGCTGAAATCTATGTCTACAACCTGCAACAGAGGCGACACCTACAGATCACTTCTGGGATGCGGGGGGTGGAGAGGTGGAGGGAATGGGGGGTGGCGAGGACTGACCCCTCCCAGGGCAGTGCGTCCAGCCTGGATGGCTTCTAAAGTTGCCGGTCCAGTTGTGACACCTTCGCTGCCAGATGGAGCTCCGCCAAAGGTGGTTTTTAAAGGCCTCCCTCACACGGAGAGAAACCCATTCATCACTCATTCGTGCCATGTCCTGTGACCAGAGCTACATGGAACAAACACCATACCATGTCTGCATCTGATTCTAAGGTCAGGTTATCCAAACGCCCCCAAGCTAGACACACAAGCCTCCGCAGCAGGACACAGGATGACACAGGACGACGGCGCTCAAGCCCCAGACCCGGAGAGCCTCAATGCCCCTCCATCCCAACCCTCTAAGTTATCCAAACGCCCCCAAGCTAGACACACAAGCCTCCACAGCAGGACACAGGACGACGGCGCTCAAGCCCCAGACCGAGAGCCTCAATGCCCCTCCATCCCAACCCTCTAATCCAGCGGTTCTCAACCTGTGGGTCGCGACCCCTTTGGCGGTCGAATGACCCTTTCACAGGGGTCGCCTAAGACCATCCTGCATATCAGATATTTACATGACGATTCATAACAGTAGCAACATTACAGTTATAAAGTAGCAACGAAAATAATTTTATGGTTGGGTCACAACATGAGGAACTGTATTTAAAGGGCCAGAAGGTTGAGAACCGCTGCTCTAATCCCACAGGGAGAGGGAAGACAGGTAGGGTGTGAGGCGACAGCCCAGGGTTACCAGCCCCAACAGCCCAGGCCCGGGATCCAGGGCTGCCATGTCTGGTCTGGCACCCTGATCCCATCCTGCCCCCCGGCCTCACCCGCCTTCCTCCCCAGTGCGCTCGAAAGCCACCTGCCCTTGGCCCTCTCCCTGTCTGACAACTCTCCTTCCGATGGGAAAAAGTCCATCAGGCAGAGCTTCCTGGGCAGCGTGGGCACAGCACAGAGCCAGGCTGCAGCTCTCCCTGCCCTTCCTGAAGGGCAGAGGTCACACTTGGGCCTGCTGCCCTCTCTGGGCACTGGCCAGCAGTAAGCAGGCTTCTGACTTATTTCCCCTTCCAAGCTCACCCACAGCATTGCGGACTTGGTGACTGCCAGGAGGGCAGCGGGTGAACCTGGGCCACCGCCTGGGTCCTGCAGGGCACAGCCTCCCTGAGCCTTGGGTGAGCTCCTGACCAGGGCCCGACTGGGACGGCAGCTTTGCTTCCATAGTTCATGTTGCTGAAAAAATGACTCAACAGTAACATGGGTCGGCTTCCTGTGGAGGAGCTCAGACTTTCACTGACCTCTGAACCCCGGAGGGTCAGTGGATTACAGCTGAGCAGAGTGGTGACCTTGCCTGAAGTCACAAAGCCAGGTGGCGAGAGTCAGGGAAACATGTTCAATCCCCTCTCTTCCTCTGGGGGTCGATCCCCTAGTCAGCTCACAGTTTTCTTTTCAGTAGAGACGGAGGCAACAGTCACAGCCGAGCCCAGGTTTCGCCCGAGCAGGGCAGTGCAGAGAAAGGGAGTTCGGAGCTCGAGTCTGCAAAGCAGCGGGTGTGCAGGGAGCCTGGGCCTGGTCCCAGTGCTGAGTAACTGTGGGCAGTGACAGCATCTCTGAGCCCAGGCTCTCTCAGCCCCAGGACAGGAGCACAGCACTGGGAGCCTGTTCTCAACGTGCAGCTCAGCTGCATCCCAGGCAGCTCCTTAGAAACAGCGATGGAGGTCCCTGCAGACCTGCAGGGCCCGAACTTGCCTTCAGGGAGGTCCCCTGTGACTCTAAACACATTTACATCTGAGAAGCTCAGGTGTGTACAGCAGTCATTACATCCCCCTGGCCAGTTCTGGGTGATAGATGTTAAGGGCAATTAGCACTCAAAAGAGCCCAAGACACAGACTGAGGCTCTTATGAGGAAACACCCAGAAACTGAATAACTTGCTCCGGGTCACACAGTGGCATCAGGATTCAATCCCAAGACTCGGGGCTCTTCTGTACCCATGGCCCGTCTTATTGAAGTCCTAACTCCCCACAAGGTACCATGCTCACTCAGATGTCCTAAGAAGCAACATCCTCATGTTATTTTAAAAGAATACGCTGGTCACCATGCACCTTTCCTGTCAAGGCTCAGACTGTGGGCTTCTGGGTGGCTGTCTGCTGCCAGCTGCTGCCTTAGAAAAGACACCTTAAAACACACCTCATAAACTTACACTCCCTTTCACCCATTACACCTTCCCCATGGGGAACCCAAGTGGAGAAACACGACAGGGTATCAAGGAAGAGGCATCTTTTTGACTTCCACCTCCGCCACCTGGCCTAAGAGCCAACCCCTGTGCAGGCTTCCCAGGCTGGAGTCTGGCCATGGGGCTATGGTTCTGGGTCCCCTAGAAATTACAAGTAAGAATGTCAAGTAGCAGGGAAGCTGGGGGGCCCAAACGCAGAGGCCACACGGGGCCTGTGGAAGAATCCACACACGGTGGCTGTGAGGATTAAATGTGATCAATGTCAAGCTTCCAGCCCCGGGCAAAGCGATTGTGTCATCGTCCCATGGACACATCTGTGCCAGGCCTGGGCACAGGAAATTTCCTGTGTCGTCTTTCAAAGTTCAGAAGTCCAAGCAATAATTGGGATTGGTTTTACAAGTGTCCAGGTGGAAGTAACAAAAAAGCAAGGCTTTCAAGATTTCAGAGGGGATAATTCTGAAAGCTTATATACCCATAACAAACCGGGTACATGAAATCTCAGGTTCAAAAAAGAGACAGATTTCAGATACACTGAGGCAAGGAGCTCCCCATTTCCTTTTGTAGGGAACCAGCTGGGGATCTTGTTAAAATGCAGAGTTGGTCTCAAGTAATCTCAGTGGAAACGGAGAGTTCACATTTCTGAGAGCTCAAAGAGCCCACACTTTTGAGCAGCAAGGTTTAAATAGCAAGGACCAAGCGCAAGGAGAGCATAATTGGATTTTAAAAAGACATGCCAGGGAACCTCCATGAAGGCGTACAGGGAACCAGCCAGCCTCGCAGGGTTTCTTAAAGGAAGGCACACCAGGAAAGCAAAGGGCATCCTTTCTTCAAGTGCATTTGCAATCGACATCACTTTGTCTGGGCAGGTTAAAGGGCTCTTTAGGGATTGTAAAAGCAACACACTTCTGTCTGACAGAATCCTTGGAAGCAGCGCAGCACAGGGAACCAGGCATCCCAGGGTATTTCCACCCCAGCAGCTGTGGCCAGGCTAGCTCTCATGGCCTTCCTTACATCAAGTTTTGCCCATTTACCTCCTCTCTGTACAATACATTTGATGCTGTTTCTGTGGACAACTGTAATTTCTTTTAATGTTCACCAAGTTGTCAGTTATAGAAAATCCCGAAGTAGTAAGATGAATGTGATTGTCAGGTAAGGAGGGACCTTACACTGACTAACCCATCTTAATGTGTGTGTGGTGGGGAAAGATCACACAGACAAGGGCTTTGCAGTGATAGGATCAGAGAAGAAATTCTAGCTCTTCTTTGGGTCAGAAGTACCAACACACAAGAGCCTCCATAGGCCCTTACAGGACATTCCTGAAGATCAAGCGTGAGGTCATCTGATCTCTGGCTGCTCTTCACACAAGAACACATCTGTCTACCAGGAGACACAGGCCTGCCTTGCACACTGGCTTGGAATACCATGGATGTTTATTGCAATTCCTGTCTTGACCTTCTGGACTAGCTGGGTTTATGCTCAAACTGCAGACATTATGAGCCAGTGAGTGACGTCGGGCGGTAACACCCAGCTGCCCAGAGAGAAGCTGCTGAGTGTGCACCACTGCCCAGAAGGGAAGGGCTTTCCCTCCCACACTCACCCGCTCATGGGAGAGGTGAGTGCTGACAAGAAATGTCAGGGCCAGACGTCCCCTGTGCCCAGACTTGATCATTCATCCGCACAGTCCCAGGCTGCTTCCCCGCTCCCTGCCCCTGCCTGCAGCCCTGGGAGCTCACCCTGCTGTGCTACCCCTGGGCAGAGGCAGGACCTCACCCACTGGGAAGAAGGAGACTCGGCAAACTTCTGGAGGAGGGCAGCTTGCTCTTCCCCATTTGTCCCTGGGGAGGAAGTGAGGTTTTCCAGCAGGCACCTTCTTACTGGCCAGAGCTTCCAGCCCAGCATGACAGGAAGGTTCTCCCTCACCTCAGGCCCGCCACTGACAAGTTAGGTCCCATCCCAGAGAGCAACCCAGGCCCGCAGGAGGTCACACTAACCGAGCCCAGGTGGAGTCCGTGCTGTCACTAGCGGCCTGGGGGGCTGGACACTTTCTCAGGAACAGGCCAGCATTCCCAGCCCCTCGGTCCTCTTCCAACCTCCAGTCCACTCCCCACTGTCCCCTGAACACATGGTGACAACTCCAGCTACTTCCTGAGCAATAGCAAATGTCCAACATTTCATGTTTTTGCTAAGATGCTCAATACCTGCAGATAACAAGTTAGCAAGTAAAACATGCGTTTAAGCAACTCTAGCAAATTCATCTTGGGATGGAAAAAAGAAACCCAAGCCCTATTTCACCCCTGGCCTGGATCAAGGGAATGTAAGAAGGACTTGACATTTTTTGAGACAAGTAAAAGGAAAACGCCAAGTCTTCCTGAGACACAGGAACACTTGAGCGCAGGCAGGAATTTCTCAGGAGGGATTCACATGCGCCCCTGAGCTGCCAGCGGACCCATTGCTCCACTGTGCGCCCCGCCAAGTCTCCCCGGCTGGAGAGAGCGCATCTCCGGGTCCGGAGGTTGGCGCCGCTTTTTAATGGGCTCCCGCAACTCCTAAGTCTGCACCCACTGCGTGGCCATGGTGCTTCTGCTCTGCGGGCTGCGCACACTCGTGTGAACACACGCCGGGGGACTCTCCCACCTTCGCGTGCCCCGTGGTTTGGAATGAGGGCCAGAAGCCCAGGGACCGGCCGGGCTCGGGAACCGGGGAAGGACCGTGTTCCGCGGCGCA